TTAATAATTAACATAGAAGACTTTTGTGACAGAGTGTGTTGGGATTTCTTCCCACCACCAAGCAAGTAATTAATTTTGTAGTGGACATTAGCTGAGCACCCTTTAGTGTTTTTTTTTTTTTTTTTTTTTTTTTGAGACGGAGTTTCGCTCTTGTTACCCAGGCTGGAGTGCAATGGCGCGATCTCGGCTCACCGCAACCTCCGACTCCTGGGTTCAGGCAATTCTCCTGCCTCAGCCTCCTGAGTAGCTGGGATTACAGGCACGTGCCACCATGCCCAGCTAATGTTTTTGTATTTTTAGTAGAGACGGGGTTTCACCATGTTGACCAGGATGGTCTCGATCTCTTGACCTCGTGATCCACCCGCCTCGGCCTCCCAAAGTGCTGGGATTACAGGCTTGAGCCACCGCGCCTGGCCTCCTTTAGTGTTTTTTAATTTTTATTTTTAGAGACAGGGTCTTGCTTTGTCACCCTGGCCATAATGTAATGGTACGATCATGGCCTACTGCAACCTTGAACTTCTGCCTCAGCCTCCCTATAGCTGGGACTACAGGCATGCACCATCATGCTGGGCTCCTAATTTAGTTTTACTTTGACACTATCTACTTGGAGAGAGTGTCAGATATCACAGGTTGAGGACTTGTCCTCCAGACTACCCCTACCCCAGTAGGTGTCAGTTTTAAGTCTTAGGTTATATGGACTGTCCTTTTAACCAACTGGTTATAAATCAGAAATCCCAAGTCCTCCATTTTGGGTTTGATTAATTTGTTAAAGAATGCCTCACGGAACCTAGGGAAACATGTCGATTATAAAGGATATAGCTGAAAAGATCTGTGGAGTGAGGTATGGGGAGGGAGACTGCAGCTTTGATGCCCTCTCGACATGCCACCCTCTGGGAACTTTCACGTGTTTAGCTATCTGGACGTTCTCAGAACTTTGTTTTTTGGAGTTTTAATAGAAGCTTTATTTTATGTAGTCATAATTGATTAAACTGTTGACCATTGCTGAGCAACTTAACTTTTAGCACCTCTCCCCGATCCCTGGAGGTTGGGGCAACAGTGTGGGTACAGATAAAGGTCCCAAGCTTCTAATCTTGTCTTGGTCCTTCTGATGACCAGCCCCATCTTGAAGCTATTAATACTTAGGGACTGGGCCGGGCACGGTGGCTCAAGCCTGTAATCCCAGCACTTTGGGAGGCCAAGGCTGGTGGATCACGAGGTCAAGAGATCGAGACCATCCTGGTCAACATGGTGAAACCCCGTCTCTACTAAAAATACAAAAAATTAGCTGGGCATGGTAGCGCATGCCTGTAATCCCAGCTACTGAGGAGGCTGAGGCAGGAGAATTGCCTGAACCCAGGAGGTAGAGGTTGCGGTGAGCCGCGATCGCACCATTGCACTCCAGCCTGGGTAACAAGAGCGAAACTCCATCTCAAAAAAAAAAAAAAAAAAAAAAAAATACTTAGGGACTGTCAGCTGTCAGTCATCTTGTTAGTATATAAAAAGACATCACGTTGGGGGTTTTTAAGGATTTTAGGAGCTATACTTCAGGAAACAAGGTTAAAGACCAAATACGTACTTCGTAATATCACACCAAGATCATAATTTTGTAAATCAGTGTTCTCTAGATTTTACTGAGAGGTGAAACCAGCGTATGTAACCCTGACTCGCCCCCTAGATAATACCAGCATTTACATAGAGTTTAGAATACCCCTGTTGAAAACTGATTTCTCGGTAGGTCAGGTCACAGTAGTTTGTTAGTAGGGATAGTTCCTTGTCTTAGAATCACTTCCTCCTACTCTGAAGGGAAACTCAAATGGATTTAGTTCTTCCTAAAACATGCTGTGCTGTATTTTATCCTTTTTTCTGCTGGCTTATTCATTTTATCCCAAACCCTGTTCTCATTGCTTCAAGATCATTAGTGTCCTTCTCCTTTATTTTTTTTAAGATTCTGACACTTTCAAGCATTTCCCAGTTACTGCCAAAGCTTAATGAAGTTAAAATATTTGCAGTGTGGTATATAATTTTTTTTTTTTTTTGAGACAGAGTCTCACTGTGTTGCCCAGCCTGGAGTACAGTGGTACAATCTTGGCTCACTGCAACCTCCACCTCCCAGGTTCAAGGGATTCTTCTGCCTCAGCCTCCCAAAGTGCTGGGATTACAGGCGCCCAGCCCAGTGTGGTATAACTCACTTCCATAAAGCTCTGCAGCAGCTTTTAATGAGTTCATATAACTAACTGTTTCCTGCTTACTCATCTTAAAAAGTTTCATCTTCATGTGGTCTCTCTTTTTTTCTTCTGCTGTCCCTTCCTCTTCCTCTTTCTCTTTAAAGCAGCAGGTTGTTTTACTTTTTGATTAGAGTATTTTCACAAGTGGTCACTGTTTTTGAGAAGTCTCCAAGAACTTGGTCAAGATTAGATCACTGTGTTTGCTTGAAAAGTCAAGCCTTGGCAGGAAGGTGATTACTGAGGCAGTCTTGTTAGATAAACCTGCATTGCATGTATTATTTCCAAATTTTAGCAGACTAAACTGTGCAGCATTGTTTGAATTTCCCCCTCCAACTCACTCTGGCTATTTTTTTTTTTTTTTTTTTTTTTTT